CTAAGGGGACTAATTTCAAAAATTTTATTAAATTATAATATAATATAATTATATATAGCCAAATATAATTTATATTATATATGGTCAGTAGCCAACGGCGAACTGCCCACTGTCAACTACTCAGTTAGCAGCAGCATAGCAGCTCACCTTTATTGTTGCTGTCAAATCTAAAGTGCACGCGTGCGTGCGTGTGCGTGCGAGCGCACGTGTGTGTACCGTTTGGTGTGGGTTCGCAGTAAACATAATTAATAGAGTCATCACAAATTCATCTGAGTTTGTTAAATTATACCCTACGCTTATAAAATCGTAATCTTTTATTACAGCGGTGTATACGCGTATACGTTTTGCTGGAGAGCAAACAGATGTCCATGCCTACTAGGACTCACTTCAAATGAAAAATAGTATGTAGTGAGACCCATGTTATATAAAACAATGAAATACTGAGTGATAGATTCCAAGGAGCCACATCTCACTATTAAGTCTGTGAACAATTTACACCCAAGACACACACATTAGATAAAGAAAATTTGTAATTGTCTAAACATATTTATTTACCGAAAACCTGCGAGTTTCACTTAAAATACATGCTAAAAAAATATTTTATATATTTGCATGATAAGGAAACTTGCATGCACGCACCCACGTACGCACGCACGCACCCACCCATGCACACACCACACCCATGCACACACGTACCCACACACGCACCCAAGCACACAACCTCACACATATGCATCGACAGACGCACACACACACACGCACGCACATGAACAACTGACTGCAGTACATGCAGCACGGCTACACCACTCGAGCATGTAACACATTTTCACCCTTTCCCGTGACAACAAAACAGTCTTCGCTTCCGACCACCCCCACCCCCCTCGATGCCGGCGCCCTCTTCAGTCGATCCTCGGCACCTTCGGCCGGGGCCCGTCGTCGTCGCCGCCGACCGCCGCCGCGGCAGCATCCTCCCGGAAGAGCACCGCCTCCGGGATCACGAACGACGCGCAGTACATCTCCTTGTTGGGCGCGACGTTTCGCACGCGATGCACCGCCGCCGGCTCGTCGAGGCTCCGTCCAACAGGGCCGCCCCACCCGCGCCGCACCTCGCTCTCCGGGTCCTCGGCGTCCTTCGTGAAGCAGTAGCAGTGCACCGTGGGAAGGCTGCGGCCACTGCCACCGCTAGGTGGCGCCACCAGGCCGCGCAGGCAGTCGAGGAATTCCGTCGCGGCGGCGGGAAGGTTCATGACGATGTGCATGCGCCCGGTGGCGCCATCTGCGGCCAGCCGGCGCGCGACGTCGTCGGCGACGACCGTGCGCACGAACTCGCGGCCGTCCATGTTGTACGTGCGCACAGAGGGCGCCACCTTGTTGGCGGCGGCGTTCGCCGTCAGCCAGCGGTGCGACTCGGCGTTCAGGTCGTTCGCAAACACCTGAACGCCTTTCTTCGCGGCGGGGATCGCGAACGGTCCGACGCCGGCAAACACGTCATAGAGGGCGTCGCCGTCTCTCAGCATGGCGACGATGCGCTGGTGCTCCGTGTCGAGCCGCGGGTTCCAGTACACCTGGTGGCGGAAAAGCGAAACATTACCGGGGCCGAGACAATGGTGTGCGATACAAATAATTAAAGATCATACGCCGAACAATCGCCGAATTAATGACAAACGGTTAGTCGACACACAATATAAACAAATAAAACGTTAATTTAAAACAAGAAATTGTAACAAAAATATCTATAAACAATAACAGTCGTCATCTGTCGATGCTTACATTGACCAACAATTTTCTGGTTTTTTCGCAAACTCTTCGAAGTTCCCAACCTTACAGGAAACATTTTACATGAATCACCACCGACATCGGCAATAAAACACTCGGGGAAATGATAGCAAACCTTTGAGAAATCCATCTGGTACGTGACGTCGTGTTCTCTGACAGTGGTGATGAAGTCTTCGTCTCCTGCCAAGACCTCCATCGCAAAGTTTCGGAACGTGTTGTCGATGGACGTCGTCTTGTTGACCACTGTCCGAATTCCGACGTGCTTGTCCAGCAGCACTTGCCCTAAAAAATACCCGACGACGATTTAGCGCAAATCGAGCAAAGATTATCGAGCAAGAATTAATTATACGTAAGCGATAGGATATTAACCGAAAGGTTTCACGTGTGAATGCGCATATGTGAAGCATGCGAACACAGCAATCAATTTCCTGCCGTGATAATTAATTTAATTTATTTAACTTATTCATTAATTTATGATTATATTAGTAAATTAGTAAATTATCAAAGTTATTGAATAGTTTTTCCTGTTCCCTGCTGCGTAAAAACTGACATAAAGTACCCACTCAACAAAACAATGAATATTTTCAACTTCACACACAGCCTCTCGACACAAGCTCGATCGATTAAAATCGTTTCGTAAACCTACCACTGCGGTACACGCATGTTGAGACGGCAACGCCGATGCATTTAACATGATTTAGCGCATCCAACGTTCACATCACATTCATACATACACGGACACTATTACGAAAAGTTGCTAGAACTCCCTTAGATAAGAGCTTCTGCTAACATCAACGTGGTACAAGTACAGAAGATGACAGTATGGCCCATACTGTATACGCTGTATATTTCGCGGTGGTTTAATTTTCCCGTGTGCCCGACCGCGAAAATAACAACACGCAAATAATTCATAATTCACCAACTGCAAAATTAACCACTCGCGAAATTGTCCGTCAAGTCTGAATTTGCGAAAATATCTGTACGCGAAAAATATGGCGTATACAGTATACAGACAGTCTCCTCTCCCCGCACGCGCGCTCGGCAGTATACCTATCAGAGCCTTGTAAGGCTGTAGATGCTCCTTCAGATTCAGGTGCAGGATGTGACCGACGCGGCTGTAGCCGGACACCGAGTCCTCGCCAGGCGGCAGCACCGCCCGCAGCACCCGGCACAGCTGTGGAACGACCAGTTGTCGTACGTGAGCCGCAGCGGCCGCTCGTCGACGACCGCTCGTTTCTCGTACGCCACGGCGAACGCCTCGTTCTCGCGCAGGCTAGTCTTTACCTCGCTCCTCTCTTTGTCACTACACCCCCCTCCGGCTCTGCTGCGTCGGCCTATCGGAGACGGTGTCGCAGCCACTTCCGGAGTCCTCAGATACGCCTTGATGGCGGCACCGAGGAGGCATGGTCCTATTTTTTGCGTGTCATCTGCTTCAACCTGGCTGCACTCCGGCGCCCTACCGTGAAGGTAGAGGAGCCTCGAGATATGTATGCAAGCTCTTACACAGACTTTATTACAATGTTAACCCCATTTGGCTTCCCTCAATAACAATATTCTTATTAATAATAAACTATACAAAATATATATAACTAACAATTATAATATTATATCTTCATTAATAATCCTATTTCAGCCCCGCATATATACATTAAATTAATGATATTACTACTGAACAATTATAATATTATATCTTAATTAATAATTATTAGCCTAATTACCTTGGGCAGACGCAGGAAGTATTTCTTGAGTCCTTTCATCGCAGCGCCGACACACGAGTTGTCAACGAGCACGGTTGGAACTTTGACGTCGCAGGAAAACGCGCCGCGATCGAGTTCCTTCATGCCTCTAACATCCGCGGGGGGAGCGAACCCACCAGCTGACACTGCCAGCGACATCTTCGCTTCCTGCCTGGCGAAGCACGGAGCTTTACCAGCGTGAACGAGCTCTGCACATGCCGTGGGGAGCAGCGCTCTGCAGTAGATACGTGCCGATGCTAGTACGGCGAGAAACAAAAATGCACAAGTAAATCGCTAGTAGTAATCCTGTCCGAAATCGACACACAGCCGGTTCATTGCAAAGGTTCATCGCAAAAGTTGCAATACAGTTGAAAACCTTATTCTAAACCTCGTTTGAAGTGGACCCTCATATAGTTACGGGCTGTAGCTATAGACTATAGATTGATATCTGGATACGATAAACGACAGCCTATAAACTTGTATAACTTAACAAGTGCCGCAGAGCGACAGTGCTCAACTGACGTGTCACTGTAGCCGGGTATTCTCTTATAAACTCGACTGTCAACACGCGGATGCCAATCAAGTGCGCCCCACCGCCACCGTGCTTGTAAGGCTTGCCTATACCGCGAGCTACAGTAATAAAGAGCTCGGTGTAACTTCTAATGACTTCGCTATAAACATTATCATCGAATATCGTCGAGCCGTCAGTGGCTGGGTGGGTGGGAAGGTGGGGGTGGGGGCGTGGAGGGTGGGGGAAGCCGGTCAAGGTGCGAGGGGGCTCTAATAGCAAAAGGCAGTTCAGTCCTTGTTAACAATCAAACAAATCCATGTTTAACTCTCCTCTGAGGGTCAAAAGGTTATCAGACACTTACTCTTCGCACGTCAGTGGAAAGTAGATTTCATGGTCCTTTTTAGATTGGTAGGTCAGACCTGAAACAAAAGTTTTGCACTCGATCCGTTAGACCATATCCTCAGAAAATGTCTGATATCTGACCTTTCCCTAACTGTCCTATGACCTGTGACCTCCAATTTCGCTCTGGTGATGGGTTTCCTCCCCATCACACTATACATCGAATATTAAGACGTAGCGTCGAGCCGGTTGAGATTTGGCGCCATTCCGATGTCCCCTATACCTTAAGTTAAGGGGGAAATATTCCCCCTCCATTGACACATCTTGACCTTTGATCCTTGAACCCAAAATTCGACATTCCGAGTTCTTTTCGCGATCCCCCCCAACGTCCCGAATATCAAGACCATACGTCGAGCAGTTAAGATTTGAGCCCAACTGTTGACAGACGGACGGACGGACAATCATGCGATTGTACAAGCTGCATCTGACTTCACCAGCCGAGCTAAAAATGTAAGTAAAATGCATGGCTACATCACTATTTTAACATGCGTCTAAACAGAGGAATTGCTCCGACCTGTGATTGGAGGATAAAAATAGAGTTCGTGACGTTTCGTTTCACCGGCCATAGCCGCCTGTGTATTAGCCTATGAGCGATACCGCGTGTGCATATTTGCTAATTAATTAGACTAATCGTACTTCAATAAAATCAAAATTCACAGAGATTATAGCTAAAACCCCTGGCACTTGGAGCGTTTCAATAAAATATAATGCTAAATAAATACGAAATCAATTTACTACCAGTCTTAATGTTTCTCTACTCTCTTTCACCTATTATTGCCGACAATTTCCTGTAAATGCCGTCCAAATGCTCATCTGCAACACTCGCTGGCCGCCACACGCTAGCTGCTGTACACTGACACATAAATATATAACAGGTAGGAAAGCGTGCTGCCAAAATTTGCTCGACGCTCGCTTGATTTCATTCGAATACAACACAAATATTCAACCATTCTACTCCATCTTTGTTTCTATTTGAAGAACAATGTTCACTTGTTATAAAAACATACTGTCTGTGTTCGTAACCGAGCTGTGTCACGCGAAATCACACAAAGCCTGACGAAATTCTCGCGTTCGCTCCAGGTGCGCAGTTTATGTAAATGGCTGTCGGAATCAGGAAACACCCACCGGCGCTCTTCGTGACATCATTTTTGCGCCGCACTTGGCCCCTCTAATATGAAATAGAACATCATCAGTTATAATAACCCGGCCAGGCTGTGTGACTAATGTCAATATACATGTCATTCTAACCCTAGCAATACCGTTTCTTGGAGCTACAGTTATAATAGAAAAGGTATGCGGCCGGTGCAGCGCGGCGTGGCCGGCAGCAGGAGCGTGTCAGATGTTAGGAAAGCGCGCCCAGCGACACACAGACAACTGGAAGAATGGGCATTCGCGTGGGTTTTATCATATCTTGGTTGTATATACCGCGCAGGCTATCACCACTGTATGCACCCCCCTTACGCGCCCCCAGCGACACTCACACGTGCGCATGCAGCCAGTGGGAGCTGGAAGAGGGGGCGGGGGCGAATTCATATACATCACCAGATGGCCGCGAGAGGACACTAAGAAACAGTCAACAGAAATGGCGTACCATTTCATATTTAATTTATGACGTTCCAAAAACCGACGAATATCAACGCATTTCCAGGTAATTTACTGCGCAGAGCAAGTAGTATCAGTCCGTAAATGGGGCGCGCAAATACACAGATAGATTTGAGGGCCGTAGCACAGGAAGATCACGGGAAATTCTCGCGCGTAGCAACAGAAACAGTTGGAAAAGGGTGTTAGCTTAGTGTTGCTTAAACACACTTGCTGTGAACTGACATAATGTTTCTCGGAAGAAATGAAGAAACAACATCCCTGTCGATTTTAAAGGGGCTACCCCCACATTTACGAAAATGACATAGGTCTCAATCTGGACATCATGATCATCTCTATCCTTGAACCCGCTATCCTACCTGCTATATATATATAAGTGTAAGTGTGCACAGTGCAGCCGCGAGAGCAATGGCCGCCGGCAGCGTATGACATGCGTCTAAACAGAGGAATTGCTCCGACCTGTGATTGGAGGATAAAAATAGACCCCGCCCACTCGCCCGCCGATACGCTATGCTATGACGGGTAGGAACTGTTACTAACTATCATATGGAGCACAGGGGCATGTCGCGTACTCCGTGGCCCATAAATATCTGATCTAGGCCGGCAGTACGCGCGAACATGCCCCTGTTTGGCTCCACTGCTCTCTATGAATATAGCATGCTCAAGCTTTTCAAACTCAACACGCTTTCGGAGCTCAGAATTGCCCGTCAAACACCACAAGTGTGGAACTGGGGATATCATTCGTTATACGAAGGAGCCCGGCATAATACCTTGTAAACTCCTCTGTATATCTGTTGTAGTATTAGCTCTTGATTCTATGTTGTATATATTATGGGCATATAATATATACAACATAGAATGTGTATAGGACATAGGTGCATAGAACATGAATTTTTATCCTCCAAAAATGGAAAAGTGGGCGGGGTCTATTTTTATCCTCCAATCACAGGTCGGAGCAATTCCTCTGTTTAGACGCATGTAGCGTATGTTGCACATAGGATTTGGACGGAATTTACAAGAAACTGTCGGCAATAATAGGTGAAAAGAGAAACATTAAGAATTTGGTATTAAATAGATTTCGTATTTAATTAGCATTATATTTTCATTTTTATTGAAACGCTTCAAAAGTTCAAGTGAGTCTTGGTACGGTACCGAGTGATCGAGTCATGGGGACTTTAGCACGAATATAGGCTCATGGAGTAAACGAGGCATACATTGTCGTATCTAGAATGCTCACGGCAGAAGCTAATGTCAATGACTAGTATGATCTAACTTTCTCGTTATTGTTAAAACGTTTTCGGTTTACCACAAGATATCGCACATGAAAACAACACTCAACAGCATGAGAAAATGTACTGGGATGACTCTTGTCATCACGCAGCGCCATCTCGTGTGCTCAATGTGCACGATTAGGTACTTACTACGCGGGTAATGAAATATAAGATAAAAATATATAAGAAATAAGATACATGAAGGTATATAAGGTGTCTGATAAATATAGAATACTGATATTATCTATGATCTGTATTCTACACCCGGATCTGCATTCAATATCCATCAGGAGTAGATAATAGGGAATTCCCTATTATCTACTCCTGATATCCATGGTAAATGTTCCGGTTAGACCGGTTACGTGCAGAATCAACTGTTTAGATCATAGAAATAATATAGATAGCCATGGTTATCTATATTATTTCTATGGTTTAGATACGGTATCGACCAGTTAGATGAAGGTATATGGAATCCGCAAAGTAATTTATATCAAGCTGACAATCTAAATACCTAAACAACACCAATATGATGGATATGCCATATTGGAGCAATCGGTGAAAGCTATATAAGGTCGTGCCGGATACCAGATTAAACTTCCACGATAACAGTTTGGGTGTCAAATAAAGTTTAGCGTGATAGGGTTATCCTGTGTTTGGGTTACATTATTGTATCTATAGTAAAATATATATACTCATATAATGAACTAAACAAAACTGTTTATGAGCCCTTGATGTTACTCGCGATTTTTTTCCCCAACAGCGCAGTTGATGTGGCCTACGTTGTATCAAGAGTCCATAGTTGGATCCATTTTCTATTATGCATTTTGCATGGACACGTATTGATGAACATGTGAGTGTCGGTGTGCACGTGTACGAGTGTCACGAGTGTGCGAGCGACAGAGAGAGGGGCGGGAGAGATGGGCGGGAGAAGGAGCGAAAGAGAGTGGGGAGAGTGAGAGAGAGAGAGGGGGAGGGAGAGAACGAGAGAGAGAGAGAGAGAGACAGAGAGAGAGAGAGGAGCTAGAGAGAGAGAGCGAGCGGAAAGAGAGGAGCGAGTAGAGAGATTAGAGAGAAGAGGGAGGAGACGGAGAGAGAGCAGAGAGAGAGCGGCATGTCCTTTGCTATCGCGATCCTATTACATCTTCGGCCATGCGCGCTACGACTAAATTAGGACGAAAGGAACTGCCAGCAAGTAATGTATATATATTATGTGCGTGTGAGTATGTGTGGTGGATATCGAGCGTGTGAGTGATGTGATACAAACGGTGGTGGTGTGTTGTGTGTGTTGTGTGTGTGTGTGTGTGTGGTGTGTGTGTTGGGTGTTGTGTGTGTGGGGTGTGTCTGTGTCTGTGTGTGTGTGTGGGTTGTGTGTGTGTGTGTGTGTTGTGTGTGTTGTGTGTGTGTGGCGCGCGGCGTGTGCGTACGCTGCGTGTGTGTGTGGGCAGCGCGCGTAGCGTGCGTGTGTAGTGTCGCGCGCGCGTGTCTGGTGAGCGTGTACAAAGCCCACAGTTACTACAAATATATTCAATCAGTCGTTATTAGCCTGAGAAATCAGATTAACGATCGAAGCATTCGACTGAGCATTAAATCTAATAAAAATCGAGCGTTTTCTCTCTATAATGTTATTTTCTGGGACTATACCTGGAAGAGAGTCAAGCCGGGGTGAGAAATCACGATGATAGGTAAAAAAATCGTTCGTAACGCCAAATATATATATATATATATAAACTGCTTATACAGACAATCAAGCAATTAACCTGCTCCATTTGTAATTAACTCTCCAGCTAAATGACCTGAACCCCGATATCCCACGCTAATTAAAACTTCGTATGTCTAAACTTACGATACCACACACCACGCACACGCACACGCACACGCACACGCACACGCAGACACGGGCACCCAACATAGTAGCACACAACCGCACACGCACACTGACACGCGCACGCACGACGCCGCACACGCACACAGCGGCACGCAGCACGGCACGCAACCACGGAACACAAACACCACACACTCACACACGAACAAAACACAACACACAACACACACACACACACAACACACACTCACACATCACCACACACACATACCAACATTGATACAATAATGGTACCAACCCAGTATCCTGAGCTTGGTAATGGGTACATTTGCACGGCGATTCATGGATTGTCTCATCCGATCTGCGAAATGTTTCTTGGCCGTCTGTCTCGGCCACGGCCGGCCTCGGGCGTCATGTAGGCTTGTTTATTCGCTCGTGTTTCTACTCAGCAACGGCAAACTATACATGAAATCTGACCGATTATATAGGTCGCACGTGGAAATGGTAGAACGATGAGAAGAGTTAACGTAGAAGATGGTTGGTAGACCATGACGTGTGTGAGATGCGTCGCCCCCGCGGACGCCGCGGTGATCGCGTTGCAAGCCATGTCTCAATAGAAACGCCAAAGCGCGAGAAAGTCGGGGCGGGCGCTGCGTGAGAACGTGTAATGATCGCACAGGTCGGCGGTTTTTCATTTTGGAATTAGTTGGACTTTTCTCGCGTTGTGTTCACGTTTCCGGCGCTGTTTATTTTTGGTCGCCGTCGGTCGCGGGATGCGTCGCGTCCGTTGAATGGACCGGGTTTAAATGGTATATGGTAGAATCAATGTTAGATGTTAACGTGCGTCGTTTGCACGTTTCAATATTGTATAAGGTATATAGTAGAATGTAGGATATATTATGAAGATGTAAATGTATAGGTGTTGCATGTTGAAACAATTTTTTTTCGATTTATTGTAGCTTTAAAAACACGTTGTGACGTCGTATATAGTCGCTCTTCGCAGCGGGCAGGCGAAGTCTATGGCATGTTTTGCTCTGCGAAGGTTCCATGTTAATGGCTACGCGAGTCTCGATGGTTTGCTACGAAAGATATTCAATGATCGAATACACGGCGCGCGTGCTCTGTGTCTCTCTTCTCTTCTATCCTCTCTCTCTCTCTCTCTCTCTCTCTCGCTCTCTCTCTCTCTCTCTCTCTCTCTATCTCTCTCCTCTCTCGTCTTCTCTCTCTCTCTCTTCTCTATTCTCTCTCTCTCTCTCTCTCTCTCTCTCTCTCTCTCTCTTCATTTCTCTCTCTCTCACTTTATCTCTGCTCTCTTCTCTTCTTCTCTCTCTCTCTCTCCTCTCTTCTCTCTCTCTTCCTCTCTCTCTGCTCTCTCTCGCTTTTCGCTCGTCTCTTTCTCTCTCTCTTCTTGTCTCTCTCTGTCTCTCCTCTCTCTCTCTCTTTTCTCTCTCCTCTCTCTCCTCTCTTCTCCTCCCCTCTCATCTCTTTCTCGCTCCTCGTTCTCTACTCGTCTCTCTCTCTCTCTCTCTCCTTCTCTCTCTCTCTCTCTCTCTTCTCCCCTCCTCCTCTCTCTCTCTTCTCTCTCTTCTCTCTTCATTCTATCTCTCTCTCTCTCTTCCTCTCTCTCTCTCTCTCTTCTTTCTCTCTCTCTGTCTTCTCTTCTCTCTCTCTCTCTCGTCTCTCTCTCTGTTCTTTCTCCTCTCTCTCTTTCTCTTCTTTTCTTCTCTCTTCTCTCTCTCTCTCAACTATATATTTATATATCTTCTCTCTCTCTCTTCTCTCTCTTTCCTTCTCGCTCTCGCTCTCTCTCTTCTCTCTATCTTCTCTCTCTCTCTCCTTTCTCTTTTCTTCTTCTCTCTCTCTCCTCTCTCTCTCTTTCTTTATATATAGTATTCCTATTATATATATATATTATATATGATATATATCAGGAGTTAGATATAGGGGCTCACGGAATTAGGGATTAGGGATAACTAGGGATATAGGGATTATCCTGAAATATGATATATTGTGTGTGTTTTGGTGTCGTGTGTGTGGCGTGCGTGGTGTGCGGTGTGCGTGCGGTCTGGTGTGGACGTATGTATGTACGCTCTGTATGGCATGTATGTCTGCGTTTGGGTGCGTGCATGTGCATGTGCGTTAGTGCGCGCGTTCGTGCGCGCGTGCGTGCGCGTGCGCGTGTGTATGTGTCCTCTTTATGTGTGTCACACGTACGGACTTCGAGCTGTCCCGCCGCATCGACGTTAGCATTCATCGTTCGCCTATTGACCGTGCGGGTGAGGCACGCAAATTAAAGCGGCGTTATTGCATTCCCCGCTAGTGCCTGCTGCCGCAGCCCGCTCCTCTATTATTACGAGGGTAGTATCTTATTACCTGTTATTACCTGCGCACGGGCGATATCCCTTCAGCTCAGCTTGTATGCTATCTAGTGTGCTGCTGAGATCGCGTATTGCGATCCAGGTGTCCCGCGCATGCCGTGTGTTACTCGCATCACACACGCCGACACGTCGTCTGTTTTTCTTTATTAATCTGCATATATATGGGCGGAGACGTATCTACTATTATCCGAGCAGACGCAGGGCCGAGCTCAACAAGGAGCATGGACGGCCATGTCCGTCAGTGTGGCCGCGAGGGTGTTGCCAGGGACGCAGCTATCTCGGAGCAGAGCAGGCCTCGAGAATGCCCGACCTGGGTCCAGCGGGGACTGTGATGTGGTGTTAGCGTCACTACATACCACCCCATATACCACACCACACATCAACACACACCACAACACAACACACACACAACACACCACAACACAAACTGCGATAGGATCGCTTCGGATATCGCACGCAAATGTCGACGTCGCGAGCGCCAAACTCGGTATTTTAATCTGTGGTTATGTCCGATGACGACGACGCGCCGCAGCAGCAAGCAGTAAGAAGGGAAATAGTCGTGCGACGTTAGTCCCTACGCGCGCGCCTCTTCGTGGCGCGGGAAAGCGCGTTGTTCGTCTGCTGTTGTTAGCACAATCCGTAGTCGGGAGCACAGCCGGCGAACGACCGTCGGTCTGCCGCCGTTAGTCACAGAGCGGGACAGGCATCGCAGCGAAGTTGAACGGGTCCACGGCGCCAGTAGTTCCGACACGAGTCTAACGGCGCGGTGACGACGCTGTACTGGCGCGAAGTGAAGTCGCGGCCCACCTGGCCGTGGCAGACGCGAGCGCATGGGTATGCTGATTGAGGTGGTATGTGCGCGTGACGTGGTGTGCC